TTTACATACCAGCACCACACCCACAGAGCCTTGTAGCTCCTATTGGCTCTGTTTCACAGTTTGCAGTCACGGGGAATAACGAGAAACAGCGGCCCAGCCCATGCCACTTTCCATGGCTCCCCTTTGGCTGCAAATGGCAAAACAGAGCCAATAGGAGCCATAAGACTCCATGGCCGTGGCACTGGTAAGTAAACAAACTGGAGCGGTCAGTTAGCAGGGTTCTCCAAGAGATTTTGTGGACCACTTTGATGAACACTGATTTAAGGTGAAGTTCTTATCAAAAAGTTTCTTGTAACATTACTTACCAAATTCTTAGGTAAAGATCTACTCCCAATGCTTCCTTCTTTTTTAACTTCTTAGGTCATGTCGGGGACTCGAACCCGGACGGCCTCTGTTCGTTGTCTGACCGCAAAGAGACAGGCAACACCAGCAAGATCCAATCACAAGCTCTTTATTGAATGGTGCACACAACAATAGAGAGCGGCCCATCTCCAAAGAGAACCAGCCACGATTTCATTAACAGGTAGGCTTATATAGACAGTTCCATCGCGTCATAGACTATTTGCCCAAACAACCCACCCTCCTTTATCGGTTAGAAACTTTTAGTATCCATGCACACCTGGCCAACTATACATCATGGCCTTAAGCAATTCATAATGCATCCGCAATTTCTTATCAGCCCAAAAGACAGGTACTGGGCAGCAAGGAGACAGTTTGTTATGGCCAAAGGAGAACATAAACAGGGAGTTTGGAACAAACAGGGGGAGAGCAGAAACAGGGAGTCTCCTTATCAGTTCTCAAAACAAACTGTTCCTCATCACAGCAGGTACAAAAATGCAGCTTCTTACTTATCTCATTTTGCAACTTGAGCAAGCGTGTAGGGTGCATCCCTGCTTGAACTTATCTCCAGTTCTGTCCAGGGACTACCCAGAAACCTTTGTTACATTTGCTTTAGCATAACTGCACTAGGCCTATTTTTTCTAGGGCCTAACAGGTCACAAGAGAGAAATAGATAAGGAGAGAGAACTTAGTGTTTTTTACCTCACTTTTACAGTTCAGTTACACTCTGAAAGGCATTTTCCTGAGGGTTACCCCTAGTTAAAGTTCATTCAAATACGTCCTTACTCAGAAATAGCTCACTTGATGAAGAAGACCAACAAAAATTAACACCCCTATCCTGGAAAGACGTAAGTGAGTGCTCAATTAAACACCACAAATAGTCTCACTGCATAAAGTTAAGCAGTTAGTAAGTCTTTGCAGGATCAAGGTCTAAGCAAGGTCCTGAAGCTGTGAACCTGTATAATTAATGCAACATTACATTTGAGATTTTAATGTAATTTTATGTGAGTTAACAGTCAATTGACTGTTTTCTGCCCTCCATACCTGGCAGTATCCTCCCAGAAACTGCTGATTAAACTAACCCATGGCATAAAACTTTCAAATAGGAATCAGAGATGTATGTCATCTGGTAAATTATCATCCAAATTGCAATAATGAAATACAACAGTTTTTCCATACCATAGGCATATGCATGCCAGGAGGACAAAAAGTAGTGCCATAACAGAAAGAATAGTTTTAGGGAAACCTTTGCCCTGTAACTGATACTGCTGCGGAAGACAGCCAAAACATGAGATCATATCTGGTGTTTTCATCAAATACTTTGGCAACTAATTAACTCTGTGGCATATCTGAATCCAATCTACCCAAGCATATTCAATGTACCTATCACTGCAATTACTAAGCACAACTATCAGAAAGTCGAGAAGCGTTTTCCATTTTATGACTTGACTTGGTTCCGTCCTCTAACTCTCTCGTTAGATCTCTACCGCCCCTTAAATTGCACCTGTGCTGTGGTCTGCTGCTGCCAATGGAGACCCTTGGCAAAATGTCAGGCTCAGCAGACAAGCGGGCTCAAGGAGCGAGGTTTTAACCAATCCGTGTGAGTCATTTAACGAAAAGCCCTTCCGTTGATGTGCGCGGCGGTCACCTCCATGGCAAGGCAAAGGCAGTGCCCGAGAGGGGCTGCGGTGCGTCCTTGGGCATTATCCGCCTCGGGGGCACTGAACTCCCCAGGGCAGCCCCCAGCGGTCCCCGCGAGGCCTGGCGGGCTCCCTAGCGTCGCAGCAGCTGAGCTATGGCCTGCGGGCCGGGGCCAGACA